TTTGTTGCATATGTGTAACACCTGAAGTGGTTAGCACAGTTAGTCTCAAAGGTGCCACAGGACCCTCTGTTGCTTTTTACAGATTCAGACTAACACGGCTACCCCTCTGATACTTGACACCATTTCTGGTGTATTATTTGTGTACTATGGGATTGATGGCCATTGGGTAAGGAGTAGGTGGTATTGTATGGCTTATAGACTCATTGTTACTGTTCATAAGGCAAGGGAGAGATACATGAATAGTACTTAATACCTTTATATTCCTATCACACTGCATACCTGAACCTCTGGGTAGCAAGGGTGCACCTGTTTAATTTGGCATTAATGCCAGGGTCTTGTCATTAAGTAAACTAAATATACCTCATTTTGTGTGTGGAGATTTTAGGTTGATATTTTAAAGGTACTTGAGAAGATTAAGTCACGGCATGAATTAGGGTCACAAAAGATGGGCGGAGTGGCTGATGCTGAAAAAATACCCATGTATCTACTGTACCTACAAAAACCCACTTCTGAGTGTGCAAATCAGGGGACTGGTGGCATGATCCAAAGACCACTGCAGTCAGCGGGAGTCTTTTTATGAGTTCAGTGAACTTTGGCTACAGCTTTGCCTATTCAAGTATCCACAATTGCACATGCAGATGTTCCTACAGGCACCGTCTGTATGTGCATGGTGTAGGGTTTTATAGGAACACCCACAGTTTAAAGTCATGCCCATGTTGTTCCATATCATGTGTTGTCTGTTGCAAAACTTCCTGGTGCTCCACACTGATAAAATCCCTGTCCTTTTATTGACGTTTACCCGTTACAGAGTCAGAGTGGGAGTGAAACAAACTACACAGTGAGTTAGGTGCTGGTTAGCATGACTCCTTCCATGTTCTCGTGTCTTAAGGGCCCATCCTGCTTCTGTCGTAGTAGAACGGGCCCTGGGAACTCTGTGGCTGTGATTTCTAGCTGGTTACCAAAGCCAGCTCAGTCCTCTGGTCTTGTCGATATCATCTGTTTAACTGTTCTAAAATCCTCAATTGCTTAATTCCTCCTGCAACGAAAAATGTCACTGTGCATGATTGCTTCACACTAGGGCTACTGCAAGACTCCTCTCAGGAGATGCATTGTTTTCTATATCTGTCCTGAATGGTCCCCTCATGTCATGCTGCTCCCTTATTTTCATGCAACTCACACAGTCCCTGCGTTATTTATTCAGTTACATTGTCTGCCCATTAAACGCAGGTTTAATTTTAACATTCTGCTGCTGACTTTTAATATCCACAGGATAATGGAAATTTACTACCTATGTCTTCTGGTTTCTGTGTATTTCCCGGACTGTTTGTGATGTTCATGTCTCAGTTTCTTGCTGGTCAGAACATTGTGTTTTCATTTGCACGTTCAGACTGTACAGAGTTAGTGCATTCTCTCGCAAAACGGATCCGGGCACTTGTCAGACCCCTCCCTTGTGAAACGGATGCTTGTAATTGTTTGCTGTGTGTTAATTCTGTGGTGCTTGTGAATGTCACGGTATAAACTGAATACATTAAAATAATAATTACGCACATGCAGCATGGAGCACTTCTCGGAGAAAAGCAGCTGTAACTCTGACAGAAGGATCTAGTCCTAGATTGTGTTTCTGGGCTACTCCTATGCTTACGGCAGCACCATAGCAGGAGGGAAATGTCTGTGACTCTCTGACCAAGTGCAATAGGTTTTTCATCCGTATCATTTTTCAAATCTCTATTTAAGAGCGTTTCCCTGGGGACTGACCTTCTCTGACAGCATTCCGACCCCACGCCACTAAGCATGGTTCCCAAACATTTCCTTCTGTCAGCCAATCGGGATGGCTCTTAGACTATTGGTGTTCCATGGACCAGTGTTTTAGCCCCTTAAGCCTAGAGACATGTACTCGTCTATGAGAGTGGTAATTCAGGATGGTGATGCTTGTGGGGGAAGGCCCTCATCGAACCAGCCATCTGTGTTCCTTTATGGTCCCCATCACTCCAGGATCTGATATTAAAGGATTTATGCTGCCTATATGGCTGTGGAGATTTACTATCCCTATTGTATAGATCCAGGCACAGAGAAATTAAAGAGGCTTGTCCAGGGTCACATGGGAAGTCTGTGACAGGATGGGAACTGAGCCCACACCTCCTGCATTTGTATCAGGGAGTTTTCCCTCCAGGACCATCCTTCTTCTAATCCCTCACTGCTGAGTTGAGAAAAAAGTTTCCTACACAGTTAATCTCACAATATTTACACACCCATCTTGGTTTCAGTTTGTGTAACCAGCCGGCCTACCAATCAATCCAGCCCACTCTGTGGACTTTTCTGTGTAATTATTCAGAAAACTTCCCCTGCAATAAACAAAAACAAATAAATATGCTACCAATGTGATCATTATTAAACTCAGCATCTTAAAGTCGGCATGAAATCAGCCAGTGCATAAAGCTGAAAGCAAAGAATTTCATGTTGATATCCTAAATCAGATTAACAGTGGGCTAGAACCTATCACAGCATAAACTCTTATTTATCAAGTAATGTCAGTTAAATCTTACCGCATTACTTAGGTTAATCTTATTAAATATTAACCAAATTTTTGACTGTAGCAAAATTTCCGGTTTTAGCAATTAAACAAGTGACAAATGGAACAATTAAATAAAAAAAAATATGATTCATGGGATCATTTCACCATAAATGAAGAGCAAATAATAATGGAAACTACTGTTATCCCAGAACACTGTGTATGAATCAGTGAGCTTCCCTAATTAGTACTAGTAATTACATGCAAAAATATATTGTGAAAAAAAAGTTAGGGTTGCGAAGTTAAGCTGTTAGGAGTTAGGAAATGGCAGCATTGAGACTGCCTCTGCAACCTTGATTACAGTCGTAGTTCCATGATCACAAGCGACATTTTCCATAGGACCCCTAACTCTTTCAGTGCACAGACTGGCAACACTCACTGGCCGAGCAGCAGCTTAATACTACTTTTTTTTAATCCACATCATTCCACATGTGGCCCCAATCCTTATTTACCATCCGAACTCTGCAGTTATTAATTTCCTCTTGAGCTTTTCAACTGTAGTCATCACCAGAATGCCGCAAGCACATCAATGCCTAGATCTTAAACTGTCAGAAGAGTTAGCTAATTTTTGGGTGCCCGACTTGAGATAGCTAAGGGCTGATTGCAGAGTGCTTAGCATTATATAGTGCGTTACATGTTCACAGCAGAGTTCCCCTTGACTGCCGAGGCAGTTGACTGCTCAGCCCTTCTGGAAATCAGGCCCCAAGTGTTACAAGCTGGGTCCCAAAAAGTGACTAATGCACAGTTAGTGGACAGCTGTGTAAAGCTTTGGTTTAAGTGACTTGCCCATCACATAGTTACGCAGTGGCAGAGGCAGGGATAGGTCTGCAAGCTGTCATTCATTTGCCTTCGCCGCAGCTTGATCCATAACTTAACGATTTCCCTTCCTGCGGTCCCATGCCTCTTTCAGTGCACATAGTCAGACTTCTGCAGGCTGGAAGGCTGGCCCTTTAAGGGGGGACCTAGCAGTTAGCCCCCCACTGGGTCTGATATGTACTCAGTTACCCTTAGTGACCCCAGCTGTGGCTACGCAGAGAGGGAAGAGACCTGAGGCTGGGAAGAAGACCCAGGGGAGAGGAGCCTGGTGAACAGGCCTAGTGAAGGCAGGCTGGAAAGAACATCAGGGAGCAGGCCAGGCTCCTGCGGGAGGCCCTGAGATTGGGCCTGTAAGAAGCAGGGAGGTTTCTGGGGGAACAGCCAGAGTCCTGGGGGGGGGGGGAGGCAGTGGGGAAACCTGCTGGGAGGAAGCAGCGTAAGAGAACTCAGCAGGGCCTGGGAGCGGGGGCAAAGAGCAGCGAATTTCACCCCACGATTCCTGCGGGCAAGCCCATCACGTCTAGTGGTTCTAGAGCATACGTCTTTGAAAAAGGTTCAGCTGGCGTCAGGGATGCCTAGGTCCACCCCTGCCTATCCCGATAGAAATCCAAATGCATTTCCAAATGCCCGAATCATGTAATTCTATCGAGCGCAGGAGGAAGATGCTACACAAAGATAGTTGCATTATATAGCTGGGCCATGCTGTGCTGGTAGGAGAGATGAGTTCAGTCCACATGTGTGAGAGAAAAATTCCTGTTTGAAGAGAACTTAAAATAGGAAACTCTGGCCCTGGAGGAACCAGCTGTTTTGCCCATTCTTCCTCCATTTCAAAGGGCAGGAGGAGCATATTTAAAGATTCCTTGTGTGCTTTGTAATGACTAGGGAAAGGAAAGCTCTAGCGTTGTATTTGAAAAGCCTTGGGATTAAATTATGTCATTTTAGAACTCATTAGCCTGTCTTTCAAGTGTACGTGCTGCTACAAATAATCATCTCTCTTCTCCTGCTTTGCCTGGCCCGGGTGTCAGCTCTCTCATCCCTAGGTGCTACTGCTGTGTGGAACTTTTGACTGGGTAAAATCCTTAGCTTTGAAATGTTAAATCCTTAAATTAGCTGGGGTTTGGAGACGAAAGGCCAAACAGTTCAAACGTGGGTACCTGAAGTCAATGGGAGCTGCAGGCATTCATCACCTCTGAAAAAGAGGCCACTCAGTTAGGTACCTAAATATAGATGGAGGTGCCTCACTCCAGGCACCCGGCTTTGATAATTATCTCCTGCAGTAACAAATTCTTTCACTATCACTTCTTCCCCATTTGGGGCAAGGTCACTTCCACCACAGGGCCGATCAATGCTGAGTCGCTTTGAACGTTCCTAGTAGCAAAGAAAACTCACGTCCCATCTTGCCATCACCCATTAGATCCCAGCCATCAGCAGCGAAAGCAACCACTCAGGATGTACGTTAATGAAAACTTACATTGACACTGAATGAATGAGGGTAGATTTTCCGAGGCCTGGGGGAACTCTTAGCCACTCTCTGGTGTGTTTTCTGTGGTTAGGATTTTCAGTGGAACCAAAGCGTGTTCGGCACCCGACTCCCCTGGCATGTGGTCCCTGGATCCCCAAATAGCACAGGTTATTTCTGTCAAACAGAAGGGAGGCAGGGCATGACAAGTGTAAAAAGAAACAGAAACCTCTGGCTCCTTTATCAGCTATTCCAGAACTATCCTGCCCTCTTTCACTGCATCTAAATCCAGACAGCCTCCCAGCCTGCTGTCAGCGATGCTCCCAGCCGGACGGGAGCAGGGTACAAAGGGAGCCTGCTAGGTCCCAATAACAGTTAAAGGTGGGATGCCGTAGCCAGATGGCAAACTCACCAGCCGGGGCAGCCCCAGGAATGTCCAGTGCTTGAACCCGGTACCATAGCCTTTCCCTCGGGGCAGGTTTTATTAAATAATGGGTGGAGCAAAAGGCTCCAAGTGATAGTAAGAAATATTTCCCTGCTTTCTACCAGCCGGCAAGGGGAAAGGACCCACCCTGTCCCTGTTTGGTAGCAATTCCTGGCTGCCACGAGAACGCCTTCCCTGACCCTGGGTCTCTTGGTCTAGGCAGTCTATTTAGAGCAGGTGCAGTCACATCACCTCTGTCATGCGCTCCCCAAACCGTCTCCTCACTCCCAGTCCGGGGCCAGAGACTCACAATAGCAGAGCTCACACTAACAGGCTAAAAATAGCCGTACAGACTTTGCTTTGGCTCTCGAGTTTGGGCTCTCAAACTCGCCTCCCTGTCCCTGGCTTGAAAGCCTTAGCCACAATGTCTACACAGGTATTTTTAGTGCACTAGTGCGAGCCCCGCTAGCACAAGTCTGTGGACCCAGGTTTGAAGGCTCACTCCCAGATGCAGTGTAGACATACCAAAGGGCTGATCCTTGGAAAAGTGGACAGGGAAACCAGCACAGATACCAACACCAGCACCTTCTTACAGTGACTTTAGGCATTCATTGTAAGAAAATCTATCCCCCTGGTGCATAATGACATTGTCATGTAATATAGATCACACTCTCCGATCACGCTGTTTTAACATCAGTATATTGGATCTCTTCTGCTTCCTTACTGTGAGTGGAAAATATTAGAAAATCACTATAACAAATTCTACCTCTCTTCATAAAAATAGCTTGCTGACAGCTAGAGCTGGTCAGGAATTGTTCTATGAAGCATTACTTTGTTGGAAAATGCTGATTGATCAAACTGAAACTTTCTGTGAGAAGGGGTCGATTTTGATCAAATTTTTGACTAAAACAATTTGGAAAAGCTTTGAAATAGTTGAAATATTTTCAAAATGAAAAGTTCCATTCTTCTGGTAGGAAACTATTTTTGTTTCAAAATTTCAGCTATTTATAGTTATATATTTTTTAAAAACAGCCAAACTCTAAGTTAAACATTTCAAAATGATCAAAACAAAGTGTTTTGATTGACCCACGCCAACTTTTTTTTCAGATTTTTCAGTTCAGAACATTTTTTGAGAATTTGACTTTTTGTGCAGGTTTGGGATAGAAAACATTTTCAAAGTCTCCATTTTTATAGGATGGTAAACTTTTTTCAACCCAGGTCTACCCCCAACAATCATTCAGAGAATTTCTCTTGGTTTAATAATTTACATGGGGGATAACTATGTACCTGATCTTTCAAGTGCTATTCCATAATTTCTTAAATTATTCTCATCTCACATCTCAGTGGAACAGCCTCGTTCTTTTATTTATTTATTTACGGGAAGCTGTTAATTGGTTTGACTAAAAACCTTCCCAAACAATCATATAATCTTATTTTACGAGATCATGGGTAAAATCCCATGGCCTGTCTTTTTAAGAAATATGCTAACCAACAGGGCTTTTTTAAAAAAAAACCACCAGAATTCATGGGGAGCAGAATCACCACGTAAGACAGCCCAGTGTGGTGTTACACTCCTGCTAAGGTTTGACGCATTTCATTCCCTTGTAGCACACCTGGCGTCAGATGAAGGTTATGCAGTTGGACATCCATTCTTAATAACCTTTCATCTGTGTAATGGCTCAGTCTCATTAACTGATTTCGTAACCGAGTCATGTAACAGGAGGACAAATATTGGACAAACTAGCAGCAGTGGCATGTACACATCTGGATAGTTACACAGGCAATTGGCCAAAGAAGCAAATCCATCAGCAAAGTGATCTTTCAAAGATTTGTATTCACAAGGTGGAGGTCTTCTAAAAAAATATAATAACTCAGAGCCTAAAATGCCTTTGTCTTGCCATGATCTCCTCCTTATACTGACTGCTAATGCTGAAAACCTGCTCCACTTCCCCTGCATCCTGATATAATTCATTATCAAAATGGGAAAGACAAGAAACCAGCAAAAACGAGAAGCGAGGAGCAGGGCCGGCTTTAGGAAGTGCGGGGCCCAATTCGAACATTTTCGGCGGAGCTCCGGCAGGGATGACTAAAAAAAAAAAGTGTAAAAAAAAGTCTTTCATTTCTTAGCAACCGGTTCCCTATAAAAAGTTCTGATTTAAGGGATGTGCCACAGTATGTATGTTTTGTACCAATAGGGTTACCATAGGTCCGGACAGTGATTTAAGAACCAAAAAGCCTGACGTGTCCGGGAAAATATGGATGTATGTTAACCCTACCTA